ACACACACACACACACACACACACACACACACACACACACACACACACCTCACTCTCACACCAAGCATCGATTTATCTTGTTTCTCACAAAAAGTGTGAGACTTCTGTGAGAGGCTGTGAACTTATGAGGTTTCATTTTTGTTTGTTTCTCATCTTACACCAGGAAGTGTGATTTCCAGGTAATAATGCATAACCTGTCTTGTAAATTGTAAAAGGGTCTAAACCTAGGAAAAGTCAATACACACAATATTCTCATTTTCCTAAAATAGAAAGCACCATACTCTGATGAAGTAAATAGGTCAGTAACCTAGAAAGAAGAACTTATCCTAAAAAAGTATATAAATAGCACCAAACCTATGTGTCCATTAGTGCACTTTAGAAATACCAAACATTATTGGATTTCAAAGACTGATGAAAAGGAAAGTCAGAGGTATGTAAATGTGTTGACTGTTCGAGGCTAATTMGCAACTCAAAATTACAAAAGAAATTGAGAAAATAGACAATGTTTTATTGTAGTCTAACAAAAGTCATGAGTGTTTGTGATGGCATGTCACTTTTTGAAAATCGAGTTGCATTTTTGTGTGTGTGTCTAACAAAACTTTATCTTGTGTGGTGCACAAAAATTTACTAACCACCAACATTGTCTGTACCTCAGCTCACTTTCTAACTACTTGGCAGCCATCCTTACATACAGTATATGACACTTCCAATGGGATTCACTATGGCAATGAGTATAAGCAAATCTGGARATAGCCATTAAACTATATCCAGATATAGCATAGTGGGGGAAAAAGGTATTTAGTCAGCCACCAATTGCTCAATTTCTCCCACTTAAAAAGATGAGAGAGGCCTGTAATTGGCATTGTAGTTAGACCTCAAATATGAGAGACAAAATAAGAAAACATATCTAGAAAATCACACTGTCTGATTTTTTAAGAATTTATTTACAAATTATGGTGGAAAATGGAAAATTAGGGAGCTAAGCTGTGTATTCCAATGAGGTTTTTTGATGGTAGTTTTTTTTTTTTTTGCGATTTATGTCACTATGGTAACCCAAAATGTCACTAAATGTAATAGCACACCTCCCACCACCGAGCTGGTCGTTTTGATGTAACATTTGTAGGGGTGTGTGTTGCCGTTCAGGCCATAATAATGTTTGATTAAAAAAAAGATATGAAAATATAAAGTATAGAGATCCTTTTATTGAGATGGATAACAATAGGTGCCGCCTTTCAAACTAATGGAGGCAGAGGAAGGCAATGGTTTGCAAWGTCTTCCTCTTCTCTCTTATGGCCAGCCCTAATTATGTGGCTTCTGATGGTGATGATTGGGGGTATTACTGCAAAGGGAGTGAATAGATATGCACACACCAACTTTGGGCTTTATATTGTATTAATTTACAAACTTTTTAAAGGTAAACTTTAATATTCTGTAGTATTTTTGGTAAATTATTGCTTTTAATCAAACTAAAAATCAAACTGAATGGTAAAAAATAAACAAAGCTGTAAGATAACCAAAAGGTGCAAACACTACTACACAACTAAACAATGACGGGCTGCTCTCAAACCTAGAGTGCCTACTCATGCGAACTGCCACAGTCTGGCACTAAAGGGTTTCTAAGCACCTTTTTTCTGTCATGGCTGCTGATGCAGCCGTGACTGCTGACTGTGTTGAAAAATAGTCAAATAAGCGAGCCAGACTACATGAACAAACAAGCTGTTTTCAGAATGTTGGAATCCATCTGTCCTTTCACCTCTCTYTTGTTTGAACGGTGAAGCTCACACAGCACATATGTGAGTACAAATCACTTGTTAAACTGTGTGGTGGACAAAAAAAAGAGTGGGTGATGAAATACTCAGCCAACATATTAAGCTGGTAATGTCACAATACCAGATTTTTTAGGCTTTCTTAGCGTTTAGCAACTGTTAACAAAGCAAGTCTGAAAACACAAACATTTATAAATCTTAACACAAATCTAGCCTCTTTTGTTCATATTTGTCATTTTCAGTTTTAGTAACCTATATAAAGTGACTTAAGACAGATGTCGTAACACAAAATAAACTGCTAAAGAATAAAAAAGAAGCTAAAAGCCTTTTCAGTCAAACAGAAGTAGATATACTGTGCTCTGCATCATTTATTCTAAGTCTGCTCATCCAAGCTTCATCTCGTCACCCATCATTATTGATTTGGTTTCCATGTTTTTAACCTTCTGGCTTTTTGTTTGTCATTCTGCCCACAAACTTGTCAGGAGTCTCAATCAAATATGCATTGAAGGACTGATCAATTACGGCTGATTCAGGCAATGCATTTCTGTATGACAATTTTCCTCTTCTGGAGAAAGAAGGAAAAAAAAGAACAAAACTTTATCTAGCTAAAAACAAAACATTATTTAAACACACATGAATATCGATCGTCTTAAAAGTAATTAGCAAATGTATATGTTACTAAAATGTGTACGTCTAAGTAAGTTAAAGGCATATTATTAATTAAAACAGGGTGTCAACATTATTGTCACTCAGGGTCACGTGACGTAAAACATGACTTTAAAGAATGCATATCAGCCTCCACCTTTCTCGTCATTTACAGTGCCTTGTGAAAGTATTCGCACCCTCTTGAACCTTTCAAACTTTTGCCACATTTCAGGCTTCAAACATAAATATGTAAATTTTGATTTTTTTTTGTGAAGAATCAACAACAAGTGGGACACAATCATGAAGTGGAACACAATTTATTGGATATTTTAAACTTTTTTAACAAATAAAAAGTGAGACATGCAATATTATTTGACCCCTTTACTTTCAGTGCAGCAAACTCACACCAGAAGTTCAGRGAGGATCTCTGAATGATCCAATGTTGTCCTGATGTCCAATGTGACTGATGATGATAAACAGAATCCACCTGTGTTTAATCAAGTCTCTGTATAAATGCACCTGCTCTGTGATAGTCTCAGGGTTCTCTTTAAAGAGCAGAGAGCATCATGAAGACCAAGGAACACACCAGGCAGGTCCGAGATACTGTTGTGGAGAAGTTTAAAGCRGGATTTGGATACAAAAAGATTTCCCAAGCTTTAAACATCTCAAGGAGCACTGTGCYAGCCATCATATTGAAATGGAAGGAGTATCAGACCACTGCCAATCTACCAAGACCCGCCCGTCCCACTAAACTTTCAGCTCGAACAAGGAGAAGACTGATCAGAGATGCAGCCAAGAGGCCCATGATCACTCTGGATGAACTGCAGAGATCTACAGTTGAGGTGGGAGAGTCTGTCCATAGGACAACAATCAGTRGTACACTGCACAAATCTGGCCTTTATGGAAGAGTGGCAAGAAGAAAGCCATTTCTCAAAGATATCCATAAAGCGTCTTGTTTAAAGTTTGCCACAAGCCACCTGGGAGACACACCAAACATGTGGAAGAAGGTGATCTGGTCAGATGAAACCAAAATCTAACTTTTTTGGCCAAAATGCAAAACGATATGTTTGATGTAAAAGCAACACAGCTCATCATCCTGAACACACCATCTCCACTGTCAAACATGGTAGTGGCAACATCATTATTTGGGCCTGCTTTTCTTCAGCAGGGACAGGGAAGATGGTTAAAATTGATGGGAAGTTGGATAGAGCCAAATACAGGACCATTCTGGAAGAAAACCTGTTGGAGTCTGCAAAAGACCTGAGACTGGGAAGGAGATTTATCTTCCAACAAGACAATGATCCAAAACATAAAGCAAAATCTACAATGGAATGGTTCACAAATAAACGTATCCAGGTGTTAGAATGGCCAAGTCATAGTCTAGACCTGAATCAAATTGAGAATCTGTGGAAAGAGCTGAAAACCTCTGTTCACAAACGCTTTCCATCCAACCTCACTGAGCTCGAGATGTTTTGCAAAGAAGAATGGGCAAGAATTTCAGTCTCTCCATGTGCAAAACTGATAGAGACACACCCCAAGCCACTTGCAGCTGTAATCACAGCAA